AATCTTCACGGAATTATTATATTATCTTTTATTTTTATTTTCTATAAAAAATAAAAGATGGCCACTCAATTTACGATTGAGAAAATAGTGGGAGTTACTAATGCAAGTTGATCATGAAAACGGTATACTTCAACAAATCTATGATTTATTACTGATATCATTATATTTTATGAGAATCTAAATAGTTTTTAAGTAAATTATGCATTTTATAAATTTTTTGTCTAAATATTTATAGGCTTTAATGTGTCTAAAGTGAATGTAGATAAGTTATCTACATTCGCTTCCAAAACGACGTCGTTTTGAGTTGAAAAATTAAAAAATTATAATGAAAAAGACTATTATAACCCTAAAATAAATTACAATTACAAAAATACCTTGATTTTTGTCTCAAAACGAAGTCGTTTTGGACTCACTGTAGATAAGTTATCTACATTGACTGTAGAAAAAGCGAACACATATTTATATGTGCTAATAGAGGGAAATTTTTAAAAGTAGAGAAATTATCCCGGTGATTATTTATAGAAGTTTCAATTCAAGATGACCTTCTTTTTCATCAAGCAAATGTCAAATCAGCTATGATCAAATTAAAGTGTTGCCAAGTTGGCTTTAATTATTATTATTTTTTATTATTTTTTTATGTTTGAATATTTTTACACTTCACTGTTATTTTTTTCTCATTTTGCGTGGTTTAAATCACCATAAATATCAAGTACAAATATTTAATGGCAAATATCTTTTTGCGATGCAGGAGCTGGATGGTCATTCATTTTTATAGTGATTAAATTTTAATAATTTATTTTTTACAGAATCATAGATGTAAATTTTTAATTTTTTATTAAAATTTAAAATTTAAATTCTTTTATATTAATTATACATATTTTTTTTAAAGTAATTTTTTTTCTTTTAATTTAAAATTTTATATTTTTTAAATTGGTTATACATATAAATTAAAAACGTTTATATTACTTTTTTTAAAAAAATACTCATACAGAATTTTTTCTTTTTTCAATTATTTTTTAAGTTAAATTTTTAATTTATTTTCTTTTAAATTATAAATATGTTATTTCTTATTTTTTTTCATTTAATTTCCAAATTTAAATTATTTTGTATCAACTATATTTAAATTTTTATAATTTTAAACATTTTTTTGTTTAATCTATAATTTTCTCTTTTAAATTTTAATTGTGTTTTGGTGAGAAATTGATTGATTAATAAATGGCAGTTAATGGTGTGTTGTTATGTCTGATTCTTTAATCAGTCTTTTAAAATTCCTTTCACGGTATGATTTATGACATTTACAGAGAATTTTAAGTTACCATTTCTTTTATTATTACTTAAAGTTGGTGATTGTCAAAAACAAATTCGATTCTTTAATCAGTCTTTTTTTCTTGGTAATCAATCAGTCTTTTAATATTCTTGTGGATGTTGATGTTGGGCTTTTATAAAAATTAAATGATATTTATTAGGCTTGACGTTTCCAATGCAAAAAGTTGTGATTCTATTCATGCAACACAATCCCAAGATTCATAATAATTGTATTTTAATAAAAATCATTTCTGTTTTCAGTTTCAACAAAAACGAAAAAGCTTGAAAACTTTTAACTTCTTCTAATATTGAAATCACGAATAAAAACTGAAACGCGGAACGTTATATACTGGACAACGATTGAAATTTTATCTTATTTTACATCGTTTAAGTGCAGCCTTTATATTTATATTAATTAAACCTCAACGAAAATGCCTAATACATGATTGTTAAGCATCAAAAAGATGTTCTCTCCCAATGTTTAATTATAACACAGCCATCGTTCATAAAATTATGCAACTTATTCAAAAGCATCATTTATTCCTTCCAACAAATGGCTTTACAACAACATCAACAAATTCTAATATTTAGATTATAACAAATTCAAACATCATGCACCATAACTGAACACCACACAGATGCAGCATAACATCACACAAATTAAAAATATTCAAGAACAGCTTCAACGATTAATTTCTAAATATAGTTCAACAACAACAAAAAATAATAATCCCAAATCATCATCACAAACATTCTTAAATTATCAAGCACGAAGAAAATATATCCACAACTCGCAGAATACAAAAAAATATCCCCATGAAGCCTTAAAGAATCCTTGCAACTTTTGCAGTAGTATTGCAAAGATCGACAAACCCTTTCTTCCATCCTGGCACGTTTTCAGAAGAAGGACCCTTGATGCAGATAAATTTTAAACTCTTCACCCGTTGACATTTTATTCCATTGATTACCATTCAATTTTTGTATCGGGTAGCAAAAAAACGTAGGAAAGCACTACGCAGCATTGAGGGCGTTTACTACATAAATAACTAATCACAGTAGTATGAAACCTTCAGCCTTGAAAAACGAAAAAAAGAGAATTAGTATACAAAAAATGAAAACTAATTCATAGCAGCTTCCTTGTAAAGTAAACAAAAATAATAATAATATAACATTAGCTACACATATGAACGAAGAAAAAATAATGTAGGCAAGAACCACACAACATGAAATACAACGAAACCTTCTGCCATACAAAACGAAAAAGAGAGAATTAGTATACAAAAAATGAAAACTAATTCATAACAACTTGTTTATAAAGTAAACAAAAATAATAATAATATAACATTAGCTACACATATGAACGAAGAAAAAAAAATGTAGGAAAGAACCACACAACATGAAATACGACGAAACCTTTCGCCCTACAAAACGAAAAAAAGAGAATTAGTATACAAAAAACAGAACACGAATTCATGGCAACTTGTTTATAAGGTAAACAAAAATAATAATCATACAACATCCGCTACATATGCGAACGAAGGGAAAAAAACATAGGCAAGAACACACAGAATGAAATACGATGAAAACTTCCGCCCTACAAAATGAAAAAAAGATAATTAGTATAAAAAAAGAAAACGAATCGTACAGATTATTTACGTCTTGTTTATAAGAAGATAGCATTGCAAATATCAACAAACACTTTTCTCAATCCTGGCACGTTTGCAGAAGAAGGACCTTCCATTAAAATATGAAACGAATAAGAGAAAGCCAAAAAATAATACCAACACAACAACCCCTACAAACAGAAATGAAGAAAGAAAGCGTAGACAAGCTAAAAAAAAAGAAATACAACTTCTCTATTTATACAAAATGAATGCCACCCAAAACTTTCCAAATCTTTTCCCACTATCCATATTTTAAATTCAAAATTTGAAACCATTTCAAAATTCGAATTTTAGATCAGGTGAGAAATTCCAATGTAAAAAGCAATTAAAACAGCTGAGTCATTCCATTTCAAAATTTGAAATTTTTAGATCAGATAAGAAATTAAAATAGTTGAGTCATTCCATTTCAAAATTCGAATTTTAGATCAGATGAGTCATTCCAATTAAATGAACAATCAAAATTCGAATTTCAAAATTCTAATGTAAAAAGCAATTAAATTAGTTGACCAATTTCAATGTGATGGGCAGTGGGACATTCAATGCCTTGTCTGCCACCACAAATGATCATTTATTTTTCGATTTAAAAAAAATTGATTTTTAAAAGAAATTCTTTTTCCAATTTACCAAAGAAGGAAAGTTTTTATATGCCATGTAGTGTGAACACAATTTTCAGAATTAAGCAGGGAGTGACATATCAGCGAAGTTTCCAACATTGAACTCTCCTTTATATATATACTCCTTTATTTATATATATATTATATATATATCTAGCCTAATAGATGTTCTCTCCAAAGTATTTATGGATGAGATACCTTTGAGTCAAGTAGATCACTGTGCACTGAAGAACTGTAAATGGCTTCGCCAAAGGGGATGTGTGTACAATGACAATATAACAGTAAGAAAGAGAGTGTAACGTATCTGTAAGTTTTATCTTTTATTTATAAAGTTTTTCTATGGGTAGTGGATTCTGGACCTTTAATGCCTCTGATAACAGCCCAAACTCATATATCATGTTGTCGTATTATAATTGATATATTTGATGAATATCTTTCCATATTTATATTTGATTAATATCTTAAATTACCTCTTGTTGGACTTGTCAATTAATGGCTCATATATGAATCCATAACACATTTGTTTCTAGACTTTATGGTCTCATGATCTCTCTTATGATTTTGTGTTCCTATGATACAAATTTTGGATTGGGTTATGATTTTTAATTTTTTTCAATAAAATAGTATTTTCTATTTTTTTAAATTAAAAGTCAAAATATAAAATAGAAATGATTTAAATATGTTATTTAAATTTGATTCTAAAAATTAAGAAATAGATATAACTTTCACAACTATTTTTACAAAATAGGCTTTGTCAAACAATTTTTTTTAGGGAAAAGTTATACTTATTACGTTTTTTTTCTTACTACTTCTTATTACCAAATCTTAACAATTGATTTTTGTCAATCTAACAGTTATAATTTATTAGAAATTAATAATTAATTAATAAATGTGATCCAATAAATTATAACAATTAGATTGACGAAAATCAACAGTTAAATTTTGATAGTAAGAGGTAATAAGAAAAAAGAAGTAATAAGTATAATCTCCCTATATTTTTATTATGAAAATAAAAAACAGTTTTTTAAAAAAGAATTCAACGGATCGAATTCTCTAAATTCATTCTAAAATTTAAAAAAGTAATTTTTTTTTGAAACTATTTTTACAAAATAGACATTATTAAACTTATTTTTTTTTTAATTTTTTTCATGAAAATTAAAAAAAAATTCAAACACGCCTTTCGAGAGAAATTTTTTCCAGCAACATAAAAAAATTATTTCCAATGTATAAAAAGTTTTAAGTTAGAGGACGAATTGAAATCATAGAGTTAAATCACCAATATGAAAAATAAAATAAACAAGTTTGAGGAGGAAGGTATCATGTTTTTACATAGATTTTAGCTTCGTCTTTGATTCTCTGGATTCACTGTTAATTATTATAGTGACCAACGTAAGATGTTGTTTAGGTTCTTGTAGACATGCTCCACACTCGCTATTTGTTTAATCTGTTTAACATTCTAGCCTTTCAAACAAGGTTTTTCAGCACTTCCTCTTCTATATTAGATCTATGCACCAAACCACACCACCTTCAACAAATCCATGCCAGGTTTTTCCTCCATGGCCTCCACCAAAATACAGCTCTTTCCTCCAAACTCATGGATTGTTATGCCAAGTTTGGACTCCTGAGTTTATCCCAGAAACTATTTTACTTTGCTGAAAACCCAGATTCAATTCTTTACAGTACAATCTTAAGAAATTGTTCTCAGTTAGGTGAATATGAAAAGGCCCTCTTTTTGTACAGAGAAATGGTTGAGAAATCCGTGTACCCAGATGAAGAAAGTTGCCTTTTTGTTTTGAGATCTTGTCTTTCTGTGTCCCGTGAACAAGGGAAGGTAGTTCATGGTCAGATAGTGAAACTGGGTTTGGATGCATTTGATTTGGTGGGTAACACTTTGATAGAATTGTATGATATAAATGGTTCTTTGAAAGGGCATGACCCAGATGAAAGAAAGTCTGTGATGGAATTGAATTATTGGAATGACTTGATGTCTGAGGCTTGTCAAAGTGGGAAAATGGAGGAAAGCATTGAACTCTTTTGTAGGATGAGAAAGGAGAATATCCAACCTAATTCAATTACTGTGTTTAACTTGTTAAGGTCAGCTGTTGATTTGAACTCATTGAAGATAGGACAAGCTCTCCACGCACTGGTTGTTGTGAGCAACTTGTGTGGGGAACTAACTGTGAATACTGCACTTTTGTCAATGTATGCTAAGTTGGGTAGTCTAGAAGATGCAAGATTGCTGTTTGAGAAAATGCCTGAGAAGGACCTTGTAGTCTGGAACATAATGATTTCAGCATATGCAGGCAATGGGTGCCCTAAGGAATCCCTAGAACTTTTGTATTATATGGTTAGATCAGGAATTAGACCTGACTTGTTCACGGCAATCCCTGCAATTTCATCAGTCACACAGTTAAAACATACTGAGTGGGGAAAGCAATTGCATGCTCATGTGATAAGAAATAGTTCAGATTATCAGGTATCCGTTCATAATGCTCTTATTGACATGTATTCTTCATGCAATGGCTTAAATTCAGCACAGAAGATTTTTGACTTGATAACGGACAAGACTGTGGTTTCATGGAGTGCAATGATCAAAGGATATGTAATGCATGACCAGTGTCTTCAGGCTCTATCTCTATTCTTAAAAATGAAGTTGAGGGGTACTAGAGTTGACTTCATTATAGTCATTAACATCTTGCCTGCCTTTGCAAATATAGGGGCATTGCATTATGTAAGATACTTACACGGTTACACATTGAAAGCCAACCTTGATTCACTCAAATCGCTTAAGACATCGCTTCTTAGTAGCTATGCAAAATGTGGATGCATAGAGATGGCCAGGAAGCTTTTTGATGAAGAGAAAAGCAGCCATAAAGATATAATTGCGTGGAACTCTATGATCAGTGCATATTCTAAACATGGAGAGTGGTTTCAATGTTTTCAGTTGTACAACCAAATGAAACTTTCAAATATTATACCAGACCAAGTAACATTTCTAGGGCTGCTCACAGCTTGTGTAAATTCGGGCCTTGTGAATAAAGGCAAGGAGATTTTCAAGGAGATGGTGGAAAAATATGGTTACCAAGCTAGTCAGGAACACCATGCTTGTATGGTTGATCTACTAGGACGTGCTGGACAAATTGATGAAGCAAGTGAAATAATAGAAACTATTCCCTTCAATTCAGATGCCAGGGTTTATGGCCCCTTGTTGAGTGCCTGTAAGATGCACTCACAGACCCGTTTAGCAGAACTTGCTGCTCATAAGCTTATAAATATGGAACCTAAAAATGCTGGAAACTATGTATTGCTCTCCAATATATATGCTGCTGCAGGAAAGTGGGACAAAGTTGCTCAAATGAGGAGTGTTCTAAGAGATAGAGGACTAAAGAAAACACCAGGCTGTAGCTGGCTAGAATTAAATGGACAAGTACATGAGTTTCGTGTTGCAGATCAATCTCATCCAAAATCAGAGGATATATATTCAGTATTAAAAATGCTGGAGTTGGAAGCAGGGGATCTGGAGGATGATCTTGAACTCTTTGACTCTCCTATTATTTTAAGTGTTGTGAATTGCATATGAATCAACTCAAACACCTTTAGGCCTGACAATGATAAGCCAAATTCACCGGACTCAGTAATTGTCATGTAACCTCCATTTGTTTCTTGGAGTTTAAAATTATAAACTGTAAACTTATCATTATCCTGTATCACCCAACAAAAGGGTCATGGTTTGTGTCTTGGTTATGCCTTTTTACTTATTAGGCTTTGTTTTATGTCTTCGATAGACTTTGTATTATAACACGCTCTAGAAACTGAAAACAGACCTTAAAAGACTTTTGTAACTCATTAAATAAGTATATCACTAAGACATTATTAAATTGTTCAAACTTTTTTAAACACTTGGGGTAGGAAATTGCCTGAAATGAGTTCAAATAATTTAAAGGCTTAATTGTCAGGGACAAAGTTGCAAATGAGGTGCATTTCTCATTTGCATTTGCAGGAACCAAAATACTATTCTCTAACTTTATTACAAAGTTCAAAATAATTTCCTTCGCGCAGCATAGCACAGGGAGGTGAAAAATAATCAAAAAACTGAACTGAACCTACACCAAACTGAACTGCACTTAAAATAACCGGTTTTTAAAAATCAGTTCTTGAACCGAACTAGTTTTTACAGAATCAATTCATGAACCGAACTGATTTTTAAAATCAGTTCAAGAACTGAACCGAACAACTTTCAAATCGAATTGAACCGCTTTTTATTACTTTATTTCTTTATTTTTTTAATTTTTTTCTTTTCAGAAGAGGGTCGACCTGAACCGAACCGAACCGTTTCCAACTGGACCAAACTAGTTTTGAACTAAACCGAACCATTTTTGAACAGAGTCGTTTGTAAATTTATAAATTTTTTGTTTATAAATTCTTACAAATTACACTATGTCTTACCAGTAAGACACTCTTGAGTAAAATCTTACTGGTAAAATATAATATAGTTTATAAATTTATAAAAAGAAATTATCAAAATAACCCAGCTCTTTTATATAATAAAAAACATACTTATTAGTATAAATAAATAAAAAATCTCTTTCGGGTTACTCAAAATCCAGCCCACAACTCAACTCAAGCCTAAATTAATTGGCCTATATTTAGATTCTAAAAATAAGACTAAAAGGGAGGTAATTTTATTTTATTTTTCTTTTAAAAGTAAAAACCTAGTCCAATATAAAGAGGAGTTAATACATTTTGGGTATTCAATTTTATCAAAAAATAGAAATCCTACTCATCTAGGTTAGTTGAGATTTTAATTCCTTCACATTCTAACTCTTTGATTTGAATTTATAAATTAGAACATATATATATATATATATATATATATATATATATATATATAAATAATACGTTTAATTAATTGAGGATATAACTCAATAAAGAAGTATGAATTTGGAGTAAAAATATATGTATAACTGATGCATAATATTGGCTTCACTTACTTGTATTTTGTTTTATATAATAATATATAAGAAGGAAAAAATATTTCTATTTTTGTTGCAGAATTTTTTTTCTGCCACACTCGTATAAAAGTGAGTGGATCTCATTACAAAGAAAAAAGAGATAAAATATTAATGAGATTCACTCACTTTTATGTAAGTGTAGTAAAAAAAAATTTGTGCAGTACAAACAGAAATATTAAACAAAAATATGTCGAATAATATCAATTTCAACAAATAAACTAATTCAAAAAATGACATGCAATTCTAATCAAACGAACCGTTTTATGTTAATAGAATCGGCACAAAGAAATAAAGGAGAGAATCACAAAACAACGCTAAGAGATTATCAATATGTTGTTCATAAGTAGACAAATCCCTTTTTTTGAACTGTTGGGGGTGCCTAACTAGCATCAAATAAATAAAATATATAGGTGGGGAGAGAACTTGGCTTCGATTTCCACCAAATATATCTTTGGGGAGAGACGATAAGCCTCGACTCGGGATTATTCTTATAGTCGGTTCCATTATTGCAAAAAGCTATCGTAAAAATATAAAAACTTACGTTTTTACATTTTTACTAAAGTAGTACGTGTTTAAAGTAAAAACTCTTCTCAATAAAAATTGGTAAAAATTACACGTAAAAATATAAAAATGGTAGAAATCACAAGTTTTTACGTTTTTACTTAAATCAAAAAACTAAATCGGGTCAACTTTTAACCCAAGCCCTGGTTTTATTTTTATTTTATAATAAAAACTAAAAAAAATCCTATTTCCATTTCCCCCAATCAAATGCACAGTATCTTTTTCTACCTATTTTAAAAAAAAACTCTCGTGCGAGGCCACTGCGTTTCCATGTAAAAGTTGTTAAAACTCTCATTTTGTGTTTTTGGACTCATGTCTTATATAATTATGTGACTTATATCTTTTAAATAAAATTTTTCCAATTATATATATATATATAATTGGAAAAATTTTATTTTCACCGATTGTGATTTTGTGATTTATCATTTGACCCCCATGTGGATTTAAACTTATCACTTAGATCCATTATGTTTAAATAATTTATCATTTAACCCGCTGTAGTTTCAAATTTTCACTTAGACATCTTGTGGTTAGAAAATTTTTCACTTAACCCCTTGTGGTTACAAAAATAATTTTTTTTAAAAATAAATATTTTAAATAAAATTTCCTCTTTTTTATTTTATATCCTCACCTAATGCATTTAGGGTTTAAAAATAACTTAATTTTATCAAGAAAATAAATTCAAATCAAATATTATTATTTTTATCTATTTTTTACCGGATATAGTTATAAAATTATCTAAAAAAATAAATATCTTATTTTGATAATACATATTTAATTTATCTTAAATAATATTTTTTAATTTCAAATATATTTTGAAAATAAATAAAAATTAAGATAATTTATAATTAATTTTAGAATAAATAACTTGAAATATTTTTTAAACCCTAAATGCATTACATGAGGATATAAAATAAAAAAGAGAGAAAATTTATTTTCTAAACCACATGGGATCTAAGTGAAAAAAATTTGTAAGCACAAGGGGTCTAAGTGAAAATTTAAAAATCATGGGGGTTAAATAATAAATTATTTCAGCACAGTGGGTCTAAGTGATAAGTTTAAAACCATAGGGGTCAAAATGATAAATCACAAAATCACAGTGAGTGAAAATGAGATTTTTCCTATATAATTTTGTATCTTGAACTTAAGTAGTAGAAATTTTATGTTTTGTGTCGTTTTTACGATTCCTTTCCGTTTATACGTACAAACTCGATTTTGATAACATTGGTCGGTTCAAAGAGTTGAAGCTTATAGGATACCCAAGAGGCCAACTTGCCTCAAAAAGATAATTAGTCGGTATACAAAAAAGAGAGTAGATTTTATTAATTTTCACTTTTTTGGGATGTGTTCACTTACAACTTATTTATAATTTATTTCTTATTCTAGTTCTTTATATTTTTTATTTACTTATTTTTTTCTATATTTTTAATGAGTTTAGTGTTCTTCCAGTAATAAGAAATAAAGTTCTATATTATTTTGAATTTTGAGAAAAAAAAACCAGAAAAATTTGGAAAATTTTATAGTACAAGAGAGAAACAAAATTCTCAAAACAACTTTTATTTTATTTTTTTCGTACAGAAAATTTCCAAGAACTATCATATTTTATGTGTGATTATTTTAGATTAGTCTTTTGATTATTTCAGATAGTAACGTATTCCTTGCTATTTCAGATTTGTCTTTTGATTATTTTATTTTTATTTTTATTATTATTTCCTTTTTAGATTAACTTTAGTTATAGCAATTTGAAATTTTAGTCAAGTTAAAAATATCAAAATTCTTATGGGAATGATAATTGGAACTCAAAAAGCTTTGTATAACTTGTTGTCGCGTATATTTGCATGCATACTTCGTAACTGTTTACAATGCAACAAATGTTTTCAACTGAAATAAGGCAACAAATGTTTTATAATATATTTCAAATTGAATTATTCTAACTTAAATATATTATCATGTCATTAATGAATGTTAATTTAAAAAGTATGAATTTAAGTTTGATGTGATTGAAACTGAATCAGGTTTTAAAGCGGGCCGCATTGAACACCCTTAACAATCATTTGTAATACAGTTTATAATTATATCGTTAGTTAGTAAGATAACATAGGAAAGATGTACTAATAGGAAGAAAATTGAAAAAATAAATAAACAAATACAAGAACTAAAATAATAAGTGATTAGGGAAAAAGTAAAAACAGGAGAAAATTATGGGGACAAAATTTTATAATATGCTTCAAAAAAATCCCAGTTTAGATATAACCATATATTTTAAGTTCATTATGTTCCTAAGTACAGTCACACTGCTTCAGTTGTTATTTTTATTTTTTTAAACTTGATATACAAATTCCTCACTTATGTTGTATGCAATAAAAAACTAAGTTCTAGATTAGCAAGCATTGTTTTAGAAATCAAGAAACTTTTTCAAATTGAATTCATCAGACAAGATGAAATGGATTGGCCATATTAATAATTAAATATTTAATTATAAAATTTTAAATAAGAAATTTTCTCTCTGATAAACTAGAAGAATACGAAAAAAGAAGAAGTTACATTCCAATAATAGAAAACGTATCATTTTAATGCTTATCTTCATGCCTTTATACATATAGAGCAAGTCGCCTTGTGAGTTTTTCACTTTTTCATTATCTATTAATAGCGTTTAAGAATATACAGTACACTACCACCATACTTTAAGCTATGATTTTATAAACACTGCCATCATGGCATATGTAGATAGTTAACACTCATTATGTATTTGGTCCTTACAGGAATTTTTTTCAAATTTTTTATTTAGTTCAATTCTTATTTATGATTTAGTAATTATAGTTTTTTCTTATTTTTCTTTTGATCCCTATATATAGGGACAATTAAAAGAACAAAAATAATGCTACTTCAACATCTATCTGTCACATTGAAATCCAAACTACTGGAATTATATATTAGACTAATAACAAGGATCACTTCACAGATTATTATAACTGTAGGAATTGATTTGCAAAGAAAAAGAGAGTATACGAACTAAATTAAAAAATTTCTGTAAACTGTATGGATCAAATATGTAGTTGAACAATTTTCTTTTAACCACTTTCAAAAGAAAAGGCATATAATTTTTTTTTATAGGGGAATGTTATATTTATATATTTTTTGTTTATAAATTCTTACAAATTATATTATGTCTTACGGTAAGATATTTTTGAGTAAGATTTTACCGGTAAGTAGGATACCAAAAAAAAAAAAAAAAGATTTTACCGGTAAGACATAGTGTATTTTGTAAGTTTGTAAAAAAAAAAAAAAAAAAATCAATAAAACCCTCCTCTTTTGTATATTAAAAAACATACTTATTGGTATAAATAAATAAAAAATCTCTTTGGGGGTACTCAAAAAACCGGCCCACAACACAACTCAGGCCTAAGTTAATTGGCCTATATTTAGATTCTAAAAATAAGACTATAAGGGAGGTAATTTTTTTTTATTTTCTTTAAAAGTAAAAATTTAGTCCAATATAAAGAGTAGTTAATGCTTTTTGTGCATTCAATTTTACCAGTATATTTTTAAAATGAAAATAAAAATCCTACTCATTTAGACTAGTTGAGATTTTAATTCCTTCTCATTCTAACTCTTTGATTTTAATTTATAAATTAGAACATATATATAGAAAATACTGATATAACTCAATAAAGAAGTATGAATTTGGAGTAAAAACAATTTATGTATAAGTGATGCATAACATTGGCTTCACTTACTTGTATTTCGTTTTATACTTTTTTTGGACAAATTAGGAAATTAAAAACAAAAACAAGAGAAAACTAAACACATAGCCAGACACGAATGGTGTCATTATACAGACTATCTAGACATCCTGGAGGAGGTTCGTCGAAGACTTGAACAACTTAGAAAAATTGTAAGAGTACGAGGCTAGAAAGTCAGTCACTCCATTTCCTTCGCAGTGAATATGGGAAATATGGACTTGCCAATATTTTTGTAACATGATCTTAATTTGCTGCACCAAAATAGCAGCAGGATGATCCTTCTGACACTCATTCGATATAAGCTATTGGGCTGAGAGAAAATCACCCTCCAACCACACTCTTCTAAATCCCTTGTCCCAAGCAAGATTTAATACTTCCAACAAGCCCACAATTCGGCATGCAAGACAACACCCGAATTTAAATTTTTACAGAAATTGATAACCCAAGCTCCTGATGGGTAGGGTTGGCTCGTAACACGCCAAAAATGAGCCGGGTTGGGTTGGCCAAAACGAGCTGCCAACCCGAGTCAACCCGACTCGTTTCAACTCGTGAAAAAACGAGCCAACCCACGAGTCAAACGAGCCAGCTCGCGGGATGAGTTTATTTTTTATTTTTTATAAAAAATACAAAATATAATATACAAAAATGGACAAAATCCACACATGTTGTCATCATTATTTTTTCTTCCTTCAATAAACCTAAGTCCCTAATCTTCTCACATCCCTGTCATTTTTATATTGTTAGGTTGTGCTGGTTCTGTTTGGTTCAAATATCTTACTCACTTGGTAACAAGTGGTTCTGATTGTTTCTTGATATTGATGCAAATTTGTTGTGAAGAAAATTCAAAACTAAAATATTTTGCTTTTATTTCTCATTTTGTAACTTTTTGTTTAAGCTAATGGAAGCCACATAGCTGGTGCATTAATACTACTTGGTCATTTAAATAGGCTGAAAACGAGCCAACCCACGAGCAATTTCGAGCCAACCCGCGAGCCAACTCGCGAGCTATTTTTTCAAGCCAACCCACGAGCCATATTTTTTAGCCAACCCGCGAGCCAACCCTAACTCGACTCGAGTCGGGTTGGGTTGAGTTTTCTGACTCGTTTTTTTTTCGAGCCAACCCTAACCCGGCTCGTTTTTTTCGGGTTGAATGTGGGTTGGGTCGGGTCGGGCTGGGTTGACCCGTTTTGCCAACCCTACTGATGGGTCTCAAATAACACCTCATGATGGCTTCACTTACCTGTATTTTGTTTTATATGATAATATATAAGAAGGGAAAAATATTTCTACTTTTGTTGTAGAAATTTTTTTCTTCTACACTCACATAAAAGTGTATGGATCCCATTACAAAGAAAAAAGAGATAAATATTAAGTGTGGTGAAAAAAAAATTGTGCAGTAAAAATAGAAACATTAAGCGAAAATACGTCAAATGATATCAATTTCAGCAAATAAACTAATTCAAAAAATTAACATGCAATTCTAATCAAACCAACTCGGCACAGAGAAAAAGAGAGAGAGAGAATCACAAAGCAAGGCTAAGAGATCATCAATACGTTGTTCGTAAATAGACAAATCTATTTATTTATCATCTAACGTTAAATGCAACAAAGGATTATCTTTTTTCTCTTTTTCTGAACTATTGGGGAGGGGGGGTGCCTAACTAGCATCAAATAACAAAGTATATAGGTAGGAAGAGAATTTGAATTCGATTTTCACCAAATATATTTTTGAGAAGAGACGAAGAACTTTACTCTGTAACTAAGCCTCGACTCAGGATTATTCTTATAGTCGATTCAAAGAGTTAAAACTTATTAAAATCCCGGGAGGTCAACTCACCTCTAAAAAATAATCAAAGTTGGTATACCAAAAAAAGTATATTTTATTAATTTTCACTTTTTTAGGATTTATTTGCTTACAACTTATTTTATTAATTTATTTCTTATTCTAGTTATATATAATTTTTATTTACTTTTTTTTTATATTTTTAACGAATTTAACGTTTTTCCTGTAATAAGAAATAAAGTTCTACATTATTTGGATTTTTGAGAAAAAAAAAATGCAGAAAATTTTAAAAAATTAAATATTACAAGAGAGAAACAAAAACAACTTCTATTTTTTTGGTAGACACTCACTAACACTACTTTAAGTTAACAGAGAAACAACTAATTTGAAATAAAACTCAACTTAAATTTCATTTAATCCAAATTAAAAAATTAATTTTAAGCCCAATGAAGGAAGTTGGTCTCCTATATAAAAAAAATAAAAATGACTAACCTAATAATTAATAAGAGACAAATTATTAATTAAACATCAGGACGCTTGTAGTTTAAATTATTATAGCCGTTTCAATTAATAAAAATTACTTTAAATTTGAAATTTAAGCCAGAAGGTTTTTTTATAGCCGTTTGTAGTTTGCAAACTTAGAAGCAAAACAACGTAATTGCATTGCAAAGCAAAAAAACAGTTTCCCAAAGCGCGTAATCTCCCTTCACCTTCACTTTGTAAAGAGCGGGTTTTGATCCTCTTCTTGTCTGTCTATCTTTGCAGCGTTTGTTTTTGTTTTCTCTGAATCGTTCGTTCAAAGATGATGAATGTGAAGAAGCGTCAAGCTGAAGAACCACTTGTTTCCTTGCAATTTTCAGAGAAGAAGCACCGTGTTGGAGAAGAGTTTGAGAGCATGAAGATGGTTGCGAGAGGTTATTACTATCCAAAGATAAATTTCATGAAGCCATTGGGAGAAGATGCCCACTTCATATGTGAGGAAAAGCAAATCATGGGGTTGCTGATGGTGTTGGTGGATGGGCTAGGAAAGGCATCGGCGCTGGTGATTATGCCCGTGAGCTCATGAAGAATGTTACTGTTGCAATCAAAGAAGAAGCAAAAGACTCTGTTGACCCTAAAAGAGTCTTGAATCATGCTTTCATGAATACAAAAGCTAAAGGGTCATCCATTGCATCCATTGTTTATCTTAAGAAAAATGTCTTGCATGGTGTCAATGTTGGTGACAGTAGCTTGATGTTGTTCAGAAACAACACGTCCCCCATTCAGCAGCGCAAATTCAACACTCCGTTTCAATTGGGGAATGTCGTGAGGAGTAATCGTCCAGACTCTGCTGGAGTATCAGGTTCTTGTTGAGCCAGGGGATGTTCTAGTTTTAGGAACTGATGGTGTTTTTGACAATAAGTATCCCTTTGAGATTGAATCGATTCTCAAAGATATGACTGAAGAAGGCAGATTAATGGATGTACAAGAATGTGCTAAGGTAATTGCATCGATGGCTTGGCGCCTTTCCATTAGCAAAATTGGAGGCCCTTTTGCAGATGCTTGTAAGAAAGTAGGAGTTAATCATAAAGGTGGAAAGATGGATGATATTACAGTTCTAGTTGCTCATATAATTGTATGAAAGTTGTTTACTTTTGAAAACTCGGTTATCCATGTTATTGAATGAATTGGGTTTTCACAATTGTCACTCTCTTAATTAGTTGCTTTTTATGTTTATGTGGTTTTAGATTATGCAAATTTACCTTATTATTCTGGTTTAATGTTTAAAATCTGTGAATGTTCATGAAAAGGGAGATAGACATAACATTTTCATATAATAAGGTCACGTGAAAAATTTTAATGAGAGAATTCATTTCCTCATGAATGTGGAAACATTTGCATAATATAATGACCCTAAATGGTAAATCTGAATTAGAGATTTAATTTAAGGATTTAAATGCCATAATTAGATTCAGTGAGTGATTTCGAGTATTTTGACTGTAATCATGACTATGTTATGAACAGTGCGTTCTGCCGAAGAATTGCAGCGTTGCGAATTAACCGGTAGAGCTTAAATGAGTAAAATAATTTTAGAGACATAATTTGACAATTCTGACGTCAAATATGAGTTCAGAACGAAAAATTGTATAGTCTGACAATTTTGGTGAAAATCTCGTGAATAGTATTTCTACCGGGTATTTTGTACTGCTGTTTAAGCAACCAGTAGAGTCCAGAAACAAATAATTGATGAAATAAGAATAAGAAAGTCCAATATATGCCAAGCAAGTCAAAATAGACCCAAGAATGATAAGTTTATAAGTTTTAAGTTTCGGATGCAAACAGTTCACAATTAATGAACCACAGTGCATTTCGTCAAAAATGGTGCAGAAACGGTATTGTAAATTAAGAATATTGTTCCTTAGGAAATAAAAATTAATGTAACTGATTTTAGAAAAATAAAAATATGTTCGTAACTTTAAGTTAATTCCGGGTTAGTTTAAGCAAAAATATGCGTAGGAAAAACATCCGGTAAAGCCACATGGGCCAAAAGGTACCTTAAGTGACTTAAAGTCATCACTTTCCTCACATTCTCTCTCTCCCTCTTCCCTCCCAACCCGCGGCAGTCTTGAAGAATAGGGCTTAGGGTTTGTTTTGATTTTCCTTTGATTTCTCCATGAATAACCAACCAAATCCTTGACCCAATATACCAATCTCATAGGAAATCATCCAAGGAAGCTATTACACCCCTCCATTTGAGCTGATTTTGTTTGTGGAGGGAGATATCCATCACCCCATTTTTGGATTACTATTCATCCAAGGTGAAAAAGGGAGTTTTTGGTGGAGTCTTGCTTGTAGGTTACCTTCTAGACCTTGTATAAGCTTTTGGAGGTAATGAACCTCTATTTCCATGGTAGTATTTTGATGATTTATGTTATAAAATTATGAGTATGTTTTGGTGAGAAAGCATTGGGTGTTAAACCTTGATTTGATGATGAATCTTTGATGTTTTGGATTTAAGAAATGAAAATAAGCATTTGTATGTATGTAAAAAAAAAAATTAGAAAAAAAAATCCTATGCTTTCCTCTACATGTTCGGCCATCATAGGTGAAGAGTAGGATGTTGTGCAAAATTTTATCTTAAGTATTAGGAAGGTTTAATGTGTAGGAATTAAGTGAAAATTTGATAAATTAGTGAGAATGCCAAAGTGGAAAAAATTATATGAAATATGCCCTTATGTTTAGGCCTTGTGGGGCTTTGGAGGGACTTTATGCTCCAAAAATTAAGTTGGAACCTTATGAAAACATATATTTGTATGTGTAAGTTACAAGTAAGTGAAGAAAAAGAACCTTTGCCTATGTCCTTGTAGTGTTCGACCTAGAGGGTGGTATAGGGGTATATTTTGTTACATTTTATTGTAAATAAAATGTGTTGTAATTTATTGTATAAAATTGATGAGTTAAGAAGTGAAATGACTTGAAAAATGGTTGAAAAATACTTTGATTTCCTATGGGTATGTCTGCGGCTTTTGAAGTAAAATGGCATGATTTATGTTGAAAAATTCTTAAGGGAATGTTTGATTAAATTAAAGAACATCAACGGTTATAAAGAGGTCTAGACTTGTGTATTGGCATAGTATTGGCAAAAACGTAAAGAAACGAAAAGAAATTATAAAATGCATGCCTTATGTAAAATCTAGGCATGATAGCATTTTGTTGATTTGTATTTGTGGATTCTTGCTCTAGGTGTACCTAGGGACTGGAAAGGATCGGAATCTCTTGAAGATTTACATAAGTAACTTGTGTCACAAGTAAACGGATCGGAAAAGCTTCAAGAGGTAAGCTCTATGTTTAAGGAGTCTTTTCCTGCTTGGGTGCTCCACCATGGTTAGTGAACTATGGTTGAACTGTATGACTATTGTTTAGATGCTTTGTATAGATGCATTCATATAGAGTTATTTGATAACATGATATGACTTGTTCTGATATGATTTTTGTATTGATGGTATGGTACACTGATGTCTTCTTGGGGTTTTCCTGAGATTGACGATGTACACCTCTGACATGTTCTGGTTCCGCTTGGGGTCCTCCCTTGGGAACACGTGCGTTAATTTCCGCTTGGGGTCCTCCCTTGGGAATGATGGCGCACACATCTGATATGATATGGATATATGCTCTGTTCTGTTATGATATCTGTTATATGTTGTATCTGTATACTCTGTATCTGACTTTCATGCAGGAAGGAGCCAGGGGTATGGAGAATTCTCTATAAACCTGGAGCTTATTGAGATTTGTAATCTCACCCCTCTTTGGGGATATATTTTCAGGTTCTCAGACTTCCGGTGAGCCTTCATTAGGCAGGGACGCGACACGTGGCTGAGACGTTCGACGGACCAGATTTTGAGTGGCTGTAGGCTACTACTTTTTGGAGTGCATTTATGTATTTCGTATTTTCTTATTTGATGGATCATGATGTTAGATCCTTTACTGTGTATATGGTCTGTATATGTCTTGTACATGTCTTTCAGTTTGATGCATGTACATTTTTGTATTCAGGCATGTTGATATGACTATGTAGTATTCAATTATGTTTATGTATTAGATTGCATGTTGTTAGATTAGTGGCACAGAGCCAAATTCTGCATGCGCCCATGGATGAGTATCTGATTATATTTGCATGACTGGTACTTCTGGATATAAGTATTGTTTAAACTGTCTATCAGGAACTCTTGGGAGTGGGATTGGAAAATCCCCAGTTGTCCGATTTACAGAGGTTACTCTGTCCGATTTTCGTTTACGCTGAATAAGAATTTAAAAAGAAAAAGAAAAAGTTAGCTCGTATTTTCGTAAGATAAGTCTTCTGCTATTTCTGTTTATATCATATGCATGTTAATTGAACCGGCTCGAGACAGGGATGTTACATTTATGGTATCAGAGCAGTTTCTCTAGGAGAGCCTGTGAAATATTGCATGAACTGTTCGGGTTGATAGATTTTTGAGATTTTTCTTGGAGTACTATGATATGCATGTCTGATCACTGAGTGTGAGCGTAGCTAACTCATTCCTTTGTGAGAAATATGGAGAATTATGGTTTGCCCAAGAAGGACTTCTGATCCTCCTATTGACCCGGCAGATCCAATTTTAGTAGATTTGGCTAGACCCCGTGTAACTCAGCGGGGAGGTACTTCGCAGCCAGATCCAATGATAACGTCCTTAACTGAGATGCAACAAAATATGGTTGCAGCTAGGTAGCGAGAGCTGGAAGTGATGATGAAAGAAAATCAAGACCTGTTAGAGGCTAATAGGTTGGCCAATCAAGAAATGATGGCAGCAAGAAGAATGGCGAATATTGAAATGATGAGATTACTTTTGGTTGAGGTGAGGGCTAGTGGGCAAGGTCCACAGCAACAGCCTTTGCAACAGCCACAGCTTGAGCCACAACCACAACAGCATGTTCCTCCTCCTCATAATCCCATTGCTGTGGAGGGTGAAGGAAATAATGATATGAATGAAGAATCTAGTCACAGGGGTGGTGTGGCACAGCCAGCCACTAATAAAGAGCAAAGAGAAAGAATGCTTAATGCCTTCCGAAAAAATGCACCACCAAATTACAAAGGAGGCATTGATCCGATTGCCGCAATTCAATGGTTAGAGGAATTGGATCGCATTTTTACTGTCATGGAGTGTGATGATCAGCATAAATTGTTGTATGCTTCTTATATGCTGCAGAATGATGCAGCCGATTGGTGGAGAAACACCCGTCAGTATAACACCTCAATATTTTAAATCAAGTAATTAAAATATTAAGTGAGCAATCAAGTGATGGATTAGTGAAAATCCAAAAGATTAGGCCAAAATACAAAGAAAGGGCAAAACGGTAATTAGCCAACACGCAACCCTAGGAAGATAAAAATTGAGTAGAAGGTCTCAGATGGTAAAAATAACCCTGGAAATGGGTTCAGAACGAAAAATTGAGTGGACAGGCAAGTTTCAGAAAAATCAGTGAATAGTGTTTTTCGCGGGTAAAAATACCGCGGTACGATTGCACCGTAAAACGTGCCGATTGAGTTTTGAGCTCTAGGTTTCAAATATGAGTTAAAAATGGTCTAATGAGTTAGGAAATATGATTTCTTATAATATTCGATGAAATTAAGACAATTTGGGGAAGCGTGCCAATGGCGCGCATAATAGCTTAAAACAGTGTTTTCTCCGAACGAATGGAGGACTCTTAATTCATCTGATCAAGCCTAATTAAAGGGGAATAGTTAATGTTAAAAATTTGAGTTTCTAAATAGGTTGTGAATTTACGGACGTTTAGTGGAATCGGAGGAAAATTCGGATTAGTTTTAAATCGCGTGAGGTGGCGGTGGGACCCACCCCACTTAAGTGACTTAAGCCACATGTGCTTGGCACTATTCATGCATCACTTTCCTCCCTCTTCTTGCTCAAACCCGCAGCCACCATAGCCCTTCCCCTCCAAGATTTCATTTCACCATAACTTAGCCATTTCTTCACCAAATCCATTGATTCTTGTCTTGAAATTTGATGGAAATGGCCTTCTAAATCCATTGGTGGTACTCCCAAGCCTTGAAAGCCACTATATTTTGAGAAAAACCCTCCCCAAAGCTGCGGCCCTTTCCTTTAG